TTTGAAATCACGCGCACGGGCAGTGCGCGACACGATAAAAAAATATTTTTGTTATTAAAAAACGACAAATACCAGCGACGAAGCTTGTAAATGCGTACGCAGATATTTTAACAACCGTAAACTCGAACTGTAGAATTCTCGATTCGTCTTCCTATGTAAATACGACTGCTCGCAACATTACCGCGGTGTGATGAGCCGGTGTACGATTCGTATGGAATTTACGGCACCATTAAGTCGGCTGGAAAACATTTTAAGGTTTGCATAAATAAACTTGAATAAACGTTTTTTCTATTTTTTTTTTTCTTTGCGAATACGTTATGTAAGAACGGAACGGATAAAAAAAAAAAATAAACCCATTAAATAAATATAATCATTGTAGAATGATGGTTAATTTTATTTCTCCTGACGTTTACAAACGACGCCGCTATTAGCTGACGCAGTGGGGGTATTCACTAGCGTGTCAGGTGCAACGAGCGACCTGACAAACCGAGGATCGTTCGAATCCGAATTTAATTCTGTTTTCGTTCCGGATCTGGAGACAGCTAAGAGGTCCGAGCGAGCACGTTTTCGCAAACAAACGAGTCCGAGGAGTGTGGCGGCGCGACGTGGAACAATACAAGGTAACATTTTTAACATATCTTAAAGTTTTCGTTCCACCATTGTACACACATAACACACCATACTCGGTCCAGCTGGGTGGGATGGAAAAATATTATCCAAAACTAGTAATTGGTAACCATCTTTTTGATATTCTAGAACATTATCAAACGTAATGTTTTGCATACGCATTATGTGAAACTTTTTAATTATAATTATTTTATATATGTCCATATATATATATATATATACGATCCATCAATGTGAACAACTAGCGTTTGACGAATTTTGAACAGTTAAATTTGAAGTGATTTCGCTGTTGTTACAGTCCATTATCCAGCGTTTTTTTTCTTTTATTTTTTTTTTATCATGTGACGTAAATAACGTAGTCTCACTAACTGCGTACTATCCCAAAATTAATTGAAATAAATAACCTTGCGCGTGCAGAACCTGCAGTGTACCCCTGGTACGGCGAGTAAACAACCGAACGGTGTTAGCAGGGTCAACTATTTAAATTTTCCAAAAAGGCTTAAAATTCCGACGGAAACATATTCAAACGCGTTTTCCGTTGTCATTTACCGAAATATATTGACCGTCATAATGAATGTTAGTGGTTTCTATTTATCGTGAATCTCGAAGAAACTGGTTTCCCGAATATTCGTAATACTTACATTAATAGTTACCGTACACGACCCGAGTAATAAGGCCTACCATGTACTGTAAAAGGGGTCAACACACCGAACGATCCGCGAAAATATCGCACGCGCGCGAGGTGTCGACACGTTTCGTCTTGATCGCAAACGCTAACCAAAAAACCAGTGCCGTTCTGCGCGTTCGTGTAATAATTTCATTCGTCTTTAATCATTACGTCGTGTGTGTCCGTCCGCAATAAATGCCCAGTCGTCGCGTCGTGTCCTTCAACTTGACACCGACGTGACATAACGTCCGATCACGCCTTTTTATTGTTATCACTTTTCCCGGCGGTCAGGAAAGACGTCCACCACATACGTGCACTCGTAAACTACACCTGTAAGTCCCACGCGTTCCGATGCGCTTGAAAAACGTACAACTACGGTAGCGTGCACGTAAAAATAAATAACAACAACGAAAACCGTATTCAATATGATTTCGATGTAACGTTCTACTGGTCCGGACATACGTCATACAGATGTAACAACAGTGTGGGCTAATCTCGGTGTCGAAGACCTTCGCAGTCAACGACATCACAGAAGTCCTACACCATACGTTCAGGTGCTTATCCGTTTGCGTATACCGTTCATTAGGCGAAGAAAAAATAAAATAAAACTGATACGAATGATCGTCTGTCGGATAGAGGTTTGAGTAGAACGTGTATATTATACGTGTATATACTCGTGTGTATGCCTATCCTTTATGCGTGTATATACTCGTAAGCGGCTCTGAGACCAGAATGTATTTAGAGTTCTACACGTGCGTAAGATCACACGTGAACCGCCTACCGTTTAGAAAACCACTTATTAGTTTAACATATTTTGTTTAAATTCACTTCACGTGTACGAAAAATCGATGTTTTCAACAACATTTTTCCATACCCGATAACATCATTTTACTGTAAACTGTTTTCTGTAGTCGACAAAAACGTAATACGCTACCGATTTGCAACTATACTACGGTTTAAATCACTTAACGAGCCAAATTTTATAAACGTAGTATTCGAATACACTTCATCTCTCTAACTTTTAGAATAGACAATTCTTAAGCATTCGTTTTCATCTTAAAGTCTGGCCACGTTTTATATCAAGTAAGACGAGTAAATTTCGGATCATTCGGGTTCTTTAAACGATTCGTAACTCGGAAAATGTCACTTCGCAATGTAGCACATAGTAAGTGGATTTTTTGAGCACTTGTATAACACAAGCCGGAATCTGCTAACATATTACTAACACACCCATACTATGCTTAATGATAAAACAAAAACCTATTCGCGGTCGGTTTTCAGGTTTTCGTTTTTTCCTCGAGCGTTGAAATCTGACCCGTGAAATTCAAATGGTTATATCGTCTTAAAAATGTACACGTATTATAATTATTATAAGCACGGCTCCCGAATCGTTTTCTTCCGATGTACACACGTATAGAAGATTGAGAATTAAGAACTCTGAGAATTTATTAAGAGAGTAGTACAGGATTAAGAAGATCAATTGTCGACATAATCGTACAGTTGCTGTCATAATATTTTTTACGACAACCGCAGACTCTTCACGGATTCGATACTAGTTCTATTCGCGTTGTACCGTTGGCGGGAAAAGAGCGCAGTACTTCACTGAAGTCGTGCGGATTAATGGATCGAAGTGAATTCTTCGTGAACATTTTAGACGTAACCGTGCAAGGAACGCACGAGTATTGAGCCACGAACATAAACCGGGAGTCGATAATTACGTGGCGGGACGTCGCACCGGCCGCTGTCCGGTTGGATTACGCGGCACTTATTAAACCGGCGGTATATCATTACGTTTGTTATTAATATTATTTTTTGTAGTTGTTGCTATTCCCGTGTATCATTGTGCATCTCGGACCGTGGTGTATAAATGTGCCTGCTGGTCATTCGCTTGCAGTGGCGTCACTTGAGTTTTGCCTGGACCAGAGCAGTCGGCATGTTCTTATTAAATTACCGACGCGACGGCTCGTCTTACCGTAGTGCCGATTAATGCGGAGTGAGGTCGAACCAGTCCGAAAATATAACGCTCCTTTGTAATCGGTACATAAGTGCCCATGTATTAACGCGTATCATTTTTCTGATTTAAAACACGTCAATGGCTTTGTATAAAGACGTATTTATATGCTGACGGTGTATCGACTTTGGAATAGCTAAACACTAGACCGTGGCAAATGCATGAATCGCCTCCCCGCAAAATGACGCCACTGTTCGCTTGTGCTCGTGCAACGTGCATTATTCAATCACGTTCTCTTGCATTACACGCTACACGAACGGGTAACGGGTGCTACGCGCCCGCGGACTAATGTGTATATATTTATGCCGATTACGGATCCGCGTGCAGATCGTCGCGCCTCCGACGTGTGCGCCTCCAACCGTAATACAACTCGTATGATATGCGTCAAACGTGAAACGCACACACGTTATTTAATGCGTTTTAAATTGCGTCGATACACGTGTACGTACAGACACATAAACACACGAACACATCGCACGTCCATTAAGCTGCTCCCCTCCGCGTCATCCAGAAACGTACGATTTTTTTCGTGTTTACTATTAGCGCGCAATCCGTACGAATCCCGTACAGTTGTATTCAGAGTTTGTACGCGACTGGTTAACCGAGAAAAAATCATTTCCAGCGGTATGGGCCGGGGTAACGTTATTCCAGCCCCTCGCCCCCTTCAAAGCCCACATTTCGCAACACTTGATACGCAAATAATTATTACGTAACCTACAAATCGTGTACTAATAACGAACATGATAGAAATCATAAATTTCTGGACGAGAGGGTGTTAGTACGCATTCGAGACGTCCCCGACGGATTGATTTTTACACGTGCGTGCACGGATGATCGATGTGGGATTTGCGTCTTACGAATCCGTGCGCATAGAACGGGGACGCTAAAAACGACTTCGATCAGACTTCGCGATCCAATCGAGTTTCACTGATGCACCACACGGTTGGACGAAAAAATTGAGAACCCAACATTGGCGCATGCGCTGCAGACAATGAATTTGTGCGGTGATCGAAAACCGCTGTACGTTTTCGAAACGAAATCCGAAATCGAACCGTGGACCACCCGATCGAGAGAGAAAATTAATATACGTTACACAGTGCGCTTAAACGATTTCGTCATGGCACGCGTGTGCATTACGTGCCGCCCGTCGTCCGCGCCTAGGTCGGAAAATAACTCGTGTCGCTTTTTGTGCGCGCGCGATCCACCTCGAAATCGCCTAGATCCTCTCTCGCTGTCTCCGTCCCGCTGCCTCTGTCTCCGTGTCACCGTCCGCGCCGTCCGTTTCAAAACGCGTCCAAACGTCCATTATGTCCGAAAGAGAGCACGTACGACACGTAAACGCGGACCGGGCACGCGCGCGCCGGTCGCAAGGTCGACGAAAGCGCGAGCATTGCCCAACCGTATCATTTGAATCATAATACGTTTCGGTACAATGGCGCGCGCGCGCGTTCACGTATTGTCGCCCGACCGGCCTTTTGTCGCTCCGTTTCGCTTTATTCGCCCGGGTTCCGTTTTGGGTGTGATTATTATTATTATTTTTTTCTCTCTTCTTCTGTTTTCTTTACCCCCGTCCGTTTCCCGCCGCTCGGCCGCTGCCGAAACTTTTACTTTCGCGCGCTTTGCGCACACCGAACACGTACGACACGCGTTCGCCGTGGCCGCGCGACGCCGTTATAAACGCGCCGTCCAAGCTCACCCGCGCACAGTGACTGCCCCGCAGCCGCGACACGCGACATCATACGCGCGGACCACTCCGTCTTCGCAAGGCGGACGCATTCAGGACGCTACCACGGTTGTCGCGCCGCGATGATGCGTCACCACCGCCGCCGCGGCACGGCCGTCGCTCTGAAAGTAAGCATTTTCCGCTAAATCTCACTTAAACTTCGTCCGTACAGCTTCCGACGTGTTCGTCGTCCAACGATTCGCAGGGACGTCGCGTTCGGTGCGAAAACTCCAGCGCGTTTGCACGATTCCTTTATCGACGGTCATCCGTACGCGAATGCGTTCAAGTCTCCGAGCGTGAGGCGCGCACGTCGCAGCGTTTTCGAACAACGCGACCCGTTCGTTCGTAGTACACGCGCGATCGTAAAATATTTCATTTCGATACTGCACGTACGTAAATCCGATCCAATGGTACACGTCATTTTTCTTTCGAGGTTCACTTCAAGGCTGAGACTCGGCGAAGAATTTTCCATTACTTCCATGTGTCGTGGTCTCCACTGAGTACAATTTATTTTACACGCACTTAACCATTTTTGTCGGTATTATATATTCTCAAAATCATTATATACACATTTATGGCACAAAATCATAATTCATACAACTTTAAAACATTTCACATCGGAGGTATTTTTTATAAAAGAGGTTGGATGAATGGTGGAGACTAAGATATATGTTCCGCATGTTTCTCCGTAAATGTGCAACCATGCCACTGCTTCAAGGGAGAAATTATTATAATTATAAAAACTTATAATTAATAAGGGTTTTTGATGTGCTAAACGTATTACACTTGTACGTTTGCGTTCATAGTATATTATCTGTGAGTAATATGTTTATTTTGTTCAAAAGGAAATGTTTTTCCGGTTGGTGATTATGTTGATGCTCTCTATGGAGGTGTGTTGGGGTTCAGATCCGCCGAAATCTTACGGACCGTCTTCATCGAAAGACAGTTACCAAAACAATTACGAGCCCGAGATCCAAAGACCACTAGCTGTGTTCACCGAAAGACCGGTGAACGTGGCCAACTTTGTACTAATCCCAGTGGTACAAGTCCCGTCCTCAGACTTAAGGGTGATTTATAGACCGCAGATCGACAGTGTTTCGAAAACCGAACCAATAGTAATGTGTAAATCGTTGACAAAATCAATCGTAAGTATAGAACTTTTTAAATTACCATATTATACAACTTATTAATCGATATAGTAGTAAAGTATATTTTATTTAACGAAATACACAGCAAGACATTGGGTATTATGGATCACTGTATGTTATTTATCGTTTGATTAGAACAGTTTTTTTTTTATGCGTGTGGCACCGTGGCGCTAAGTTAGAGGGGTACTTCACACTCTCGAGTCGTCCTTCACTCTAAGTGGTTGGAAATAATACATATACATTTATGTGTATGCGTGTAACTGAGTGCTTAGAAGCAACTCGATCCATTGATTTCGTTCGATTTTTAAGAATGTCTGAAGATTAAAATGCATTGCACCGAGGAACAGTATTGGTATTTAGTATATTAATTTATGGACTATGCGATAGTAAATGCTTTTTTCGTCCCGTTTTTTCGTGTTCTATGTAACAAAATTAAAATATTAAACATGTTTTTGTAGTTTATTATTTATAGTTAGTATGCTTTTTAATTTAAAAGTAATATTTTTGATTTTATATATTTATAATGATATATTTTTTATAAAAATATTCATGTTATACTATACTCTATGCTATGTGTATCAATTTACCATAGTGAAAAAATAAAAGGAATTGAATGGAAATGTTAGAAAAATATTTTTCTAATAACAAACGGAAATAGTTTTTTTTTTAGCATATCAAAATAATAATATTATTGAAATAATAAAGATTACAAAACACAGTGAAAATCAATAACCGTTTAAAACAATTCGGTATAAAACCGTTTTTTGAACGATACATAATAATAGCTTTCGAATTTGTAGGATTTAAGATCTACTCCCTGTAACGCGTGAACAATTTAGGCATTTTTTTTTAAAAAATGTACATAACATAATTGAGCATAAAAGAAAGTGTTGAAATGCAATAATTCTTGTTTAAAAACATCGTAACTAAATGCACACATTTATGTTATTCAGCGAAGACAAGGCTTTAGAAATGTATTAATGAAATCCGATTCACTCGAGTTGACCATATATTCGTTAAAAAAATAGGTAACAATAAGTAACGCGTTATGAACTTCGAACACCAAGAAATTTCGAAATATCTACGTTAATTTAATAAGATATAGGTTATAAAAAACTTTTACTTTGCTAGCAATAAGCATGCTAGTTCGCGGCAAATACGTCTTTTTGTCTACAGAGCTCTACGTAAAAAACGTTTTATGAAATAATTAGTTTACGACCATCTGTCCGAACAATAAAGATTTCTTTTAACGTGATTTAACTAATTTTCGTTTGTATTTTCTCAATATTGTTTGTGCACAGCTACAATAATGTACGATACCAATACAACATTTTGACCGTAGATACAAACTAAAATAATAAATTTCTATATACTATTAATAAATCTGTACAACTTATTATTTCCTCGTCGATAATTTACGTCACCATCTCGACGCTTATTACGCATTGTTTATGAACGCTATAGTTATTTTAATGTACCATTTAAATCGGTTGTCATCTGAAAGCCGACAATCGATAAACAAGTAATACTGGGCTTTGGGCGGTCTAAAATTATTATAACGGTAAAAAACAAAATGTATAGAATATACTTTAAGCAGCGTCAGAAGAATACATAATTATAATTACAATCATATTTTCCTAGACTTATTACTCACATGGACGAAAAAAAAAATTTCAAATATAAATTTTAGTACTAAATCATTAGTTGAACCAACCAATCAATTATTAAACTAACCAAATCATATACTGTACATGTGTAACACATCTCTCATTTTTATGTAAATATAAAAATACAAAGACTTTGTCGCGATGGCGTCGGTAGCGCTTGAATAAGTTGTTCATAATTTAAAATACACAGTCGTCAAGAGTAAATATCACCATTCATTTATTATAATATTTATGCACACACTGTAGGATACGGGATAAAAATACAAAACGTGTTTAAACATTTTATAAATGAACATTAAGCTCGAGGATTGCCTGCGATGAACGCGTATGATAGTTTGCGCAAACCATTGATAATTTATTACCTTAACGTGTTATTATTATAATGTATAACATGTCCGAGCTCGTAATTTCGAATAATTTGATCGATGATTAATTGTTTATACAAAGTATTACGTATGCATCAAAAATACGTACAGTAAATGTAGATGTTTTATTACTGCAGTACATAATGTTAAGACCACAATGGTCACCGAGTCATTTGTCCGTAAGCTCTTGTGAGTTAAATCATTGATCTTAGAATACACTAAAACAAAGAAGTATAGTCTAAAATCAATGGTTAAATCGTACCCTCGGGTGACCGTCTATGCGTCCCGTTTACACTGCGCTTAACACGTCATGCAATTATATTGTATGGTGTACCATGATATATGGGTAGATTTGGATCAGCTGTCACTCGTCGATGGATGCGATAAAACAGGATGATCATACGAGTACATCCCGTAAACTATTTGAGATTTCCAGTGCTTCAACTTATTGTCCCGTTGTACTTAACGTATTTCGTCCCTTTTTTATTTAAGTTCTTCTCGCATACTAATACCTTAATTTCCTTTACTGTTAACGTGAATAATTTATTATACAATTAAATCTCTTTATTACAAGTACTCTCGGGTTATTTATTTTTTTTTTTAAATATTTTAGAGGGAATATTGGACTACCATGATATTGTTTTTGTACATTAATATTTTTTTTTGTATTTCAAAACTTTTATACAGCACACATTAATTATGTTATTTGGGTTGACAGAGAAAAAAAACTTAATTAAAAAAGACGTGTGTCGTATTTTTTTAAAAAAAATATCGTCTCGTTCTAGAAATGAGTATGTGATCCATTGTATTGATAGACTGATGCAGTTGACATGATGGTTCTCAAACTAGCAATCAGTCATGGTGAAGGATAATGGTAGAAGAATATTATTTTATTATTTATATCATTTCTTTATAAGGGGCAATTTGTAACTCCCCACGGCTTTCTTTAAAAAATGCCTTACCAAATGTATCCGAGGATATGGGCACCACATACTACGTTTTTTACGTAAAATGCATTTTTCGAGGAATCTTATAAGTTCAAATGTGTTCATACATTAAAAATGTAATTCGATCAGTCATTGGGGTTTTTTCCCCCTTTTTTAAATCCATTCGTTTTTTATTGCGCGCCCTATATGGATGATATAAAATTCAACGCAAGTGCGACATAACCCAAATCTGGTCCACCACCGTGTAGATAACCCACGTCGTTGAATGCGATTTACGTACCGATTGTGGCTACTATTTTTGCGTTGTAATTATATTTCGAATCTAATTCTGTTTGTCATTTTCGCAGGAAGCTACGCCAGCGGTGCAAGTTCCGTTACAGCAACCGTTCTACCTGTACGACGAGTATACAGTCATCCCGTTCCCGAAGACCGTGACCATTCTGCACGGCGGATACCGCATGTCGATCCCAGTCGGCGTGGTCGTAGCACCTGTCCCCGTGGGCGTGCTCAGATCCGGTCCGGTGTTCGTCACCACCCTGTACGCCATACCCGCAAGCCCGTTGCCCACACCGTTGCCATTCAGGTGAGACGCATAGTACCACGGACGTTTATGTCCTTTGTCCTTCGACCTCGGCGAGTTCTGCACAACTACGTTTCACGTTGACACGCAGCTCCAATTCTCGTCGAAATCCTTTCCGCTTTCTCTCTTACCCCTCCACACAGTGCCCCGTGACGTTTGTTTGTCGCAAACCAAAAACGACATTCTATAGTAGTTCTATGTTCAACGTTAATACAGAAATCGAAGCATGTTTATGATTATTATCAAATAAGTAAAACGAAAAATATTTCGGAGAAACCCTTCGACATTTGATAATATTTCGCACCATTGAAAAAAACACGATGCAGATGATAGCACAAATGATATCATCTGATTTATATTCCACTAGGTATGATATGATTAAGTGGAGTGGTTAATGTCTCTCGCAAAATTCCAATGACGGTGCAATGTCAACTGCGAAAATCGATCTGATCGGACTGGTTTTGACGGTTATAGACTCGAAACCAAAAAATGGTAATCGTTAGATTTGAAAACGATTCTAAACAGTGTTCGACGGTAAAAAAAAAAAAAAAAACCAGTGTAAATCGTTTACATACGTCATCTATGTATATATATATATATATATATTTGTATATATACCTTATAAAAACACAATAAATGTGGTGGCGTGAAAAGTGAGAGCCCATCGAAACATTCGAATGTTATCCTCTTGATTACACATATAAATCTGCAATCATTATATTGTTATACTGTTATATTGTTAAATTATATTTACTATATCACGAGATGTGTATCGATTTATAATAACACATTTGTTCGTATTCGTATGTATGTGTGTGTGTGTGGCCAATCGTATGATTACGTGTGTATAATCCCATATGAAGTTATGTCGTCTTGCGCACAGAAAAAAATGATTAAGAATATTAAGATTATTCGCGAACGACAAGTAATTCGTAGGCAACGCGATCTTGACGTGTAGATGACCGCTGTATGCAGTGGAAGATTTAAGTGTGTGGCGGCCCTTAGGCGGAATATATTACAAACGAAATTTAAAATTTTTTTCTTGTTAAAATATTATTATCTCGTTCAATTATATTTAATTTTATCTTCTTGTTACTTCTCATGTGTACATTTAAATTAAATACATTTTTCAATGTAATAACAAAAATACTGTGGGAAGGGGAGGATATTTTGTGGAGGCCCTAGGACTGCAGGCCACTCGGCCCCTCTCTAAATTTGCCCCCACACGTTTGTTGTGTTGAGTACGTTAAACACATGAGTTTATCAATAACCTAACCACGAACTAAATACGTTTTAGTTTTCATAAATGTATGCCACGTCCATATTCGTATAATATTTGACCATTGAATAAAAAAAACGTACACTGCAACACTCTTTTAGTATCACATATTATTGTAATATTATACATGTTCCAGTAAATGAACGAATGTCAGTTTAGTCCCAAATTTGGACTTTACCGAATGATCTTGATAAGTTCTAGAATATACATAATTATACGGTGAAATTCAGAATGATTATTGTAGTTCGGTCTTTATAAATAAAAATGGAAAATCTTAGGATATATAATTATGTTCTGTAATAGCCCAAAAAATAAAAAATAAGATGGATCAGAAACATTTTTGGGATAAGATGGTACTATTATTGTTGAATCATATTTGTTCAAGAATAACTATAAGTTATATAAAACGTATTACTATTTTACATATATATTATTATTGGACGGGAATTTAAGTTCGCTCATAAAATAATCTCATTTATTAAAGGCATAAATTTCATTTTTTCTTTTGTTTTTTATTTATACGGCAAACAAGCCAAAAGTTAATTCAATCTAGAAAAATTCGTATTCAATGAAATGTATTAAAATGTAAAAGTTTTCAAAATGAAAATAATACATGTATGGGTTAAATGGTTGACAGGTAATAGTTAAATGTTTTTTTTAAACTGCTAAATTTGACGAGACGACAATGACATGATTGCACGAAATGTCGCCGTCGTTGAATGTAAATGATACCTAAAAATGTTATCGAATATATTGTTAATTGAAAGACTGTCTTCTAAAACAATGGTTTATCGTAGTATATATAAATATATTAGTAAACTACGAACTATATATATACTATTGTTTAACTTCCCAAAAGTGATAAAAAAGAATCTTAGTTAACTTAAACTAACAAAAAAGGGCGTATTTTATTTTTTTTTACCCGAGTGTATAAATCAAAATATTTTCCACATCTGGTTTGTAAAAGCCCAAAATATAATGATAGGAGTGTCACTGCAGTTTTTTGTATGTCTCGGACTTAACCTCCTAGACCACACGGTAAAACATAGGTAGATAATTAGCTATTCGTTCTTTTACCGTAACATTGCAATACGAAATAAATGGTATGATTGAGGCGTACAATAGGCAATATTACACACACTGAAAACGCGTATAAATCGATACATGTATGATTAGTAGCCTATCGTATGATTTCTTCGGCTTTGTCTTTCCGTCCCGCACTTGACTAATATTATTTGAATTGTCCTCACCTACAATGCTATTGACGTTATTCGTTGATATTTAAATGGATACAATTAAAAAAAAAACAATTTCAACCAAAAATAATTTTGGTCGTACACAGTACAAGCTCAAGCCTTCCAGTTTTGAATAAATTTAAGTAAAACGGTCTATAGTTCACCTCGCACACAATTTTCATCAGTCTGTTTAACATGTAATAACTATTGTTCGATCATCGACCAAAAGTTATATTTTTCAAATCCAATAAGAATATAGAAAAGTCACCGAGTCGTACTATCAACGAATAGTACCTTAGTTTGTACAACTATAGTGCTACTATTTTAGTTTTGTGCAGCAGGAGTGATTGTAATTTTAGAAACATATTGTCTCCTCTCAAAAAACTCATTCCGGTTCTTTCCGTTAGGTAAAATCACTATTGTCCCCAACTCGATCCCTCTCCACGGAGGAGCACATTTTCAGGTTTTCCATGCCTCTATAAAGTCTACTTAACCTCAATATTTAACGTTTCGGATTACGCATTTTCTCTTAAACTTACCGCTACTACTGGTGCAACGTTCGAAAAACTAACAACTATATAGTTTTCATTCCAATAAACATAGATTTGTGCCGTATCAGCCCGCCTATCCGGCGCCACAGTCGTACTCGGTAGCAGGACCACCGTCACCGTATACTCAAGCAGGACCACCATCGCCATACTCTCCAGCAGGACCTTCGTCACCGTACTCTTCATCAGGACCTTCGTCATCGTACTCTCCAGCAGGACCTTCTCACACTCCAGCAGGACCTTCCCACACTCCAGCAGGACCTTCGTACTCCCATCCAGCACCTCCATCTCCGTACTTGCCAGCAGCACCTCCGTCTCCACCGCTGTACTCGCACTCTGTCTCGCAATACTCGCACCCGGCCTCACAGTACTCGCACCCTGTGCCTCCAGCACCAACCTACTATAGCAATTCCGGAGGTGACTACAGCGAAGACGGGCCACCCGGCAAACTCTACTCGCAGCTAGCCGCTACGACGTTCCAAAACTCCAAAGAATCGCCACTGCTACAACAGCTTAGGGAAGAGTCGGAGAAAAACCGCAAGAAATACGTGCCACCGTCGTTTTCCAACCAGTATCAAACAATAGACGCGTAGAGTTCGATTGGTGATCGATCGAGTTGCCGTTGCTTTTATTTTTTACTCTACGAAGCCTATTTTTTTGTACATCTAAACTCTATACAGTTCAGTTTAGGTTGAAATATTTTATAAACACAAGACTATATTTTATATAATTATTTTTTTTTTTTTTACATATATATTTTGATTTAATTAAATATATTAATATAGTCCTACATTGGAATTACGATAAAAATAAATAAATATATAGGTATAGATTTTATAACTAGGTACATAAATAAAAAAGACTACTTTAAAAATTTCTTAATATTTCAAACAATTTTTTATTACAAATATTGGTTCAGAAAAATAGCTGCTATGCTAAAAAGTAAAACCGACATTTACGAAATATTAATTAAATCATGGATTATATATTTATTAGTAACCAGTAATGTAATTTATTCATGTTAACACTAAATTTGTGTACTATTTAAGAACATGTAATTTGTGTATTAAGTAATACATAATAATTTAAGTTATATTTAACACTCTTACATGTATCGAAAATATCGGATAAATGTAAATTTGAAATAAATAATATGGTTTTAACAAATCATTCTTCTGTTAAGAAATTAACGATTAAATTATATACAACTCTATATAATTTACATAAATACTAATTGTTTATAATTTTGTATACCTTCAAATGAGACTATGAATTAAACATTAATAGTCATGCATTTATTACGTTACGTAAATTACGGCCGAAAAAATCTTTTTATCGATCAAGGTGAAATGCGTTCCTTTTTTTTTTTTAACTTATAGCTTTATAATGAGAAATTACAATCCATGCCAGCGTACAAAAATAATTTTTATGGATAGTTAACATGAAAAAAAAAAACAGAATGCGAGACGGAAATCGTACTTTAACTCAAATTTTAAGGAACCCAAACAGGATCCGAAATCTCGATCAAGAAAGTTTTTGACTTTAAATTCTAAAAAGTTTTATTCGGTTATAAAATATTTCTTATCAAAACTTAAAAAAAATTTATTTTTCCTCTTACATAAATGTACCTAACCTAACCTAACCTAACCTACACATTGACAAAATATTTAAATATAATACATTTGGCTATTATTATTTTAACATTTTTTTTAAATTATGTTATAACTAAATATAATATCATAATAATCTTGTGGTTTTATTATGCATTTGAATACCTCCATCATTTTTATTCTTATTTTAAAAAATGTTTGGAATTTGTCTTAAACGATATGACCAAAAGTGAAGTATGTATTTTAACAAGTTCTCGCGTTGATATCGAACACAGTGCCTGACTGTTTCGTTAAATAACGACGCGGAAAATTACTCTTTCCACCCCCCATGCGGTGTGCACCCGCCCTGCTGGTAGCCGCCGGTAAGTATAGATTTGTGTTATCATCGCGTCGGCATGGTCGAACTGCGACTGAACACGACCATCGATCCGCGCACGCTCAGTGGCCCACGACACTGCGCACCCCGTCCGCACTCGCCCAACCCCCGCATCACCGACACCCTAGTGGGCCGTGGGGTAGGAAGGCGCGTGCGTGCGTGTGTCCGTGGTGCCGTTGTCCGTCGTACGATTGTTCCGGTGTTGTGTGTCGGCCGCGGTTCGGTTTCGGGAACCGCGATCGGTGGTGCGCAGGGACGCCGGCGAACGGCGAAAAATCGTAATCGCTGATACGCGCGTTGTAGTGACCGTAGTACCCGTGCGAACGTGGTAATAATGGTGAGCAGCGGTGTAGGCCGCAGTAACAACAACAACAATAACAACAACAACAACAACAACGACGACGAATACGGCGGCGGCGGTGATATGCACGACGGGTGTTCGGCCGATTCGTTGGACGTGCGCAGCATCGAGGACCAACGGTACAAGCCGCTGCTGGAGGCCATCAAGAGCGGTGACTACGACGAGTTCGAGAGCGCGGTGGACAAATGCGGTGGCGAGGCGCTGAGCTTCCGAGACGAATGGGGCTACACACCCGCGCACTGGGCAGCGCTCTGCGGCAACGCCGAGGTGCTCCGGTACCTGGTGGCCAGGGGCGTAACCGTGGACATGTCGTGTTACGGCATCCAGGGCTCCAAGCCCGTGCACTGGGCGTGCCGGAAGGGCCACACGGCCGCCGTGCAAGTGCTGTTGCAGGTATAACGTGTGTGTGTGTTGTTGTTCCTGCCCTTGAAAACTAATATCCCGCCCATAGAATTACCGAACCGATCATCACGAGCTTAACGTGTTACACCTTTTCTATCCATTTTCACCCACTTGCAGTTCAACTACCTTTCATTTCGGTTCATTGTTCTCCGTTTGCCATGTTTTGTTATTATTTTTCGCCCGTAAAACAATGTCCGTATTTGAGCAGCGGCGAATCGTCTGAAAACGTTATTGGATTTCGTATCGGTATTTCTCCGATCACTCGACAGCTGAATCGAAACTGCACGTGCATCGCTGAATTCACATAAACATGTTGTCGCTCGATTATGCACAGTTCTATTAATCAACGCTTGTTGAAGGTTTAAATGTGAATGTACAACATTGATGAAACGTGTTTGTCTGAACGTGGCAATAATTAAGACTTTTTTATGACAGCTGATCGAATAAAACACGTCGTTCTGTTATTTGCATATTGTCTTATCGCTATTTTTTTGATCGACGTACGGTCGCGTAACTAGGGCAAGGCATTTCGTATCCCAAAAGACCTAGTGTAAAGCATTCACTTAAATATATCTTTAGATGTGACGGATAAGAAATTCGTTGCCGAATTCATTTACAGAAAAAATAAAACAAAAAAAACGCGCAAACCCGGCTCGCCGTTATCGTATCCGTCGAACGAACATTTTTTCCGGGCTTTTTTAATTCAACGAAATATTATTTTACTAAATTCAGTGTATAGGTTTCACGTGTGTCCACGTTTGCCAGTAATCTTATGACCGAGTATTTGGCTGTTAATATTTTCTTTTTTTTGGTATTTCAAATAAATCTGTGATTTTACAATGTCATTTCCGCCCATTGGAACATCAGATGCACGGTGCACAACATAACGTGTAAATTCTTTCCCATGTCTTAAATAAAATCGTTAACATTATTACATAGCGTAATCGTTGTGTTAAAATGACTCTGTTGTCTTCGTATTTCCCAATATAATAATATTACGTAATATTTACCTGTTTATTTAGTTCTCAATGAATTACACCGAGGTATAATATACATTTTAACGAGCGCAGAAATCTTAATAATACCGAGAAAAAAAACATTTAAGTACCGATATTTAAGTTCGATAAACAGAACCAATATAATCCGGTACATTTTTAAATTTATTACGTTATTATCTGAATAAAAACTAGGTCATAATTAAAATGATTTCGAATAAGTAATTGCAGATCGGCGACGTAAATCTGAAGGGTTTCGAGTTTTTCTAAAATCCCAAATCCGTTCCCAGCATCGCAGTACATCAATGCAAAAACAGATTTTAATGGTCCGATTCAAATAAGACTACCATCGGTTTTTCGTTCCGTTAATGCTTCGCTCGTTTCGCTTCTGCGCGCGTCCCGTTCGCTCCAGCATTTTTTCTTATTTGTTCATTTATTATTATTTTTTAATCTAATTGTTGATATAGCTCGATGTTCTATTATCACGCGTACCGCGACCGTTCGACCGAGTTCATGGTTTCGTCATCGTTCCGAAACGCGCATACATTTTTTCAACAATTATTCGTGTTGTCCAGGACCATCGTCTGGTTGTTACCGCCGATCGTGCAGTCCAGTGCGGCACGCGCCGCGTTGTTTGTGTACGCGATAAACCGTGCACGAACCGCGACCGATTAGGGTAACGAGTACTGCCCACGCGGTGATGTTATCAGACTTGAATATTTCGCTGCAGTTGACGAAATCGTCTGCTCATATAATTATACTGTCGCTATGCATACGATTTTGCTGGGCTGTGTAACAACCGAAACAAAGACATAATGCTCGCGCATTACGTAACACTCGAAATATGTTTAATTACTGTCCTGTGCGACGATGGAGAATACCAGCGCGGTAAGCTCACGTGAATGTTGTTTCATGATGAATATTATTCGACGTCGGAAAAACCATGACCCGAAAAAAGAAATTAAAAAATTAAAAAATCGGATCGCAAGCGTGCGCACATGCTTTACGTGCACTACGAAAATATTAGAATTGTAAATTATCAACTCGAATCGTTAATTTTTCGTCGACCTCGAAATGCTATCCAGTCGAGATGACAGATCATATGCGATTTAGACCGAACCCATTTATTATATTATACGGGTATATATATATCATATGATATGCGTTATAGTTTGAGTCAACCATGTACATACGCTTTGTCAGGGAATACTAATTAAAAATTAAAAAAATCGCGACTCACGATTCAATTATTAATTTGAATGATACGCGAAACAATGAAACACGTTTGTTTGGTAAAAAAAAATTATATATTTATACGCTATTAATTATAACACGATTCGAATGAAACGTCCGCGGTGATAAATTAACGAAACGAACTTTCTTAAACTTTTTTTTAAAAAAAACTACAAAAACAAATAAAAGTTAAATTCTCACTGTAATTTAATTAGAAATGTTTTGTAAAAAAAAAAAAATATGAATACAATAATATAATTAATTTTTTAAACTACAATACACGTGCAATCTAATGGAGTTATTATGTGTTAATTCGCATACGAATTACTCGTTAGTACAGGTTGGTTAGAAGAAACTGAAACGTTGAACTATTACAAGACATGACATTCAGATATTTGTACTCGAAAACATTTCACATCATTTCGTATAATGGCAATTATTATTACGTGTATCGGTATAACGATATGGGTATTATAGTGAAATCATAATTTCAATTGATTAACATAGAAATGTAATCGTAAAATCATTAGTATATTTCTAATGATAAAAATCGGTATTGTAGCCGGATATATTGAGCATCTAAAGAATATATTTTTCGACTTGGTGAAAATCATGCCGAATGTCCGGATTTCAATGTGTTAACTAAGTGATAATAATTCTAACAAATCGTCATTCGACCGTTTTTTTCTCCTTTACGTTATGTAGTTAACTACTAAATCGTATTTACCCGCAACCTATCTGAACCGTTACTTTCCGACCTTCCACACCTGTACAGATGCTTATTCAGGTCCCACCAATTCACTTCGTTTCCTTGATTGTGGTTAATAATTTATCACGTTAAAAGTTACATTCAAATATCAATGACCTACGAATCAATTCCTTCACGTTAAATAAATATTACAAAATATTTCACAATAATCTCATATCCCCTTACTTCCGAAATGCCCTCCCTAACTGTTAAAATACACGAGATTCAAAAGCCAAAAAAAATAAAATTGGCCAAGAAATGTTTTAACATAAAAAAAAAAAATAATAATAAATGTTAGGTATAAATAAATAAATTTGTATTCACACATTTTAGATGAGTTACTATAGGTGGGTCACTTAATCATGTTGTTCCTAACCATGTTATGTTTCTTAAAATTGTGAACACAATTTACGTATATGGCTCGTACAAGTACAGATTGTTAATATATTTTAATAAAAATTCTATTTATACACAGATCATCACGTTTACTTACATTTATACACGTGTATACATGGGGTTTCGTTTGTCGTTTTTCCAGGCCGGAGTGAACCCGAACGTTTCGGACTTCAAAGGCCTCACGCCCCTGATGACGGCCAGCATGTTCGGCAAAACGTCCACGGCGAGTTTTCTGCTGGGCATGGGCGCCTTGCACCATCTGACCGACATCAACGGCGATACCGCGCTGCACTGGGCCTCGTACAAGGGACATCCCGACCTGATCCGGTTGCTGCTGTACTCCGGTGCCGACCTGACGAAAGCCGATAATTTCGGGTCCACGCCGTTGCACTTGGCCGCGTTGTCGGGAAACGCGAAGTGCGTCAAGATACTGTGTCAGAACGTACGTACACGACGACAAATCACGGTTGATACGCGACTATACTATAATCGGTCGCGGTAGGATTTCGGTAGCTCCCACGCTCGAAATGCGTTTGTATTCCCAACATTAGTCGAAAACGTTCTCGAAAAGTTGTGCGTACAAGATTTTTTTGTGAACAAAGCTCTTCAAATAACGAAATCGATGTACAAACAATGTATGGAGTACGAGAAAAAAAAATAATAAAAATATGCGAAAAGCACGTTTGTACGCCTGATGATAATTTTTCTCATATCAAAACTAGTCATAATAATCGCGATAAATATTCGTGCATTAATATTCTGGACAAGAACTGAAATAGCTTTTCATTTTATTTGTATTGATGTACGATAAGATGCGAGGCATTTTACCAAAGGATCGTCATTGGTTTTCGATTATTCTCAAAATTATTCTTATTGTTATTTTTTATTCATCCCGAAGAGATAATGAGGTCCAGTTAACAGATTCGTGTGAATGACAAAATAGCATTATACCTAGCTGCTTTTCGAGCAACAGCGGTTTTCGTTGTTATTCCGTTATCGGGATAGCGCCGAGCGTATCTTTTGGCATTCTCACATGTTTAGTATCTATCTGTTAGTGTAGTGATTTAATTTCCTAATCCGTTTTGCGCACACAGAGCCAGATATCGCTGCAGCCCCGAGACAAGAACGGTAAAACTCCACTGGGCCTAGCCGTCAACCACAGGTACGAAGATATTGCCGGGCTGTTAAACAGCGAGATCAAGAAGAGAAAGAAATGGATGATACCTCTCCACAAAGCGTTGTAAGAACAATACAATATTCTATATTATGTGTACACGATTATTGTCATTGTATCGTATTCGATGCAGACAAAACTTTTAAACCATAACCGTTCGTTTCAGCAACGCGATTTTCGGCAGTTCCGCGTATTCCAAAGGACCACTGTTGCTCTTTCTGTGTTCATTCCTGTTATGGTGGTATCCTCTTTACGTTTACAGAGTGAGTCTGCCAGTTTTTTTCAAATCCTGATGTGGTGTTTGTTACGCGGACGTTTAGTTTACAAAGACACCGGTGAAATTTTTTTTTTTTTTAATTTAATTTATAATATTTACATCGTTCGAAACACGGTCTTATATATGATTTGACAAATTTTATTGAATTTAAATTGAAAAGCTGTTATTAACAAATCAAGTTTATACCATGCTACTGTATCCGTAAAGAAATATACTTCATATGATCCTCTACTATAAACGTCATTGCCCATTATCGCACAAATATGGAAATATAAGACTTGATCAACTATGTACAAATTTTAAAATATTTGATAGCTCATGACAACGCAAACATTTTAATTATATATATATATATATATATTAAGAATGACTTATATTTTTCATGGTTGTCGTAACTTACCAATAAATAAATATATATCCTAATTAAAATTGTTCAAAAGTTATAATATAACCCGTTGCTTTATATGTTAAGCCTTAAAATAAAATACTAATACATGTAATTTATATACAAATTTGTTGTTAGTTTCGTTTCGGTTTTTGATGATTAAATCATCACGCGTAACATTTTATTATGTCAAAATTCAATAAGGTTAAACTTTCATTCATATATAATATTATCATTTGATGGTGTGAGCAAAAAAAAAAAAAAATCGGTTTTACCTCTTATGTTTAACAATTGTATTACATTAATGATATTAATAATGACGAAAAAAAATACCGCAAAAAATGCAATAAATCTTCGTGGTATTATGAAATTCTTGTGTTAGGAATTTAACTATATATTATAAATGTGTGCGATATTGTATTGTTTTTATATGCGGTATTGGATTATGCATTTTGTGCAGCAATGGAAAACTCCCACTTTCCAGTGTTATATTCAACATCAATCTTTGGCTTTTAACTGAATGTTCGAGAAATAAACAATAATTACTAGAGAAACACACATTTATTGATAGAAAATATACGTAGGTACGTTTAAAGTAAAATGTTAGTTTAAGGTATATTTAAAAAAAGAAATTCTCGATTTTATAATTCATTCAGATCGTAAGAATATTTTATTCAGTAATTGAATAATTCGTTGTAAATGAAACATCACATTGTTATAATTTAAATCTTTACTTTTCTTCAAGATTAAAATTGATTAAATCATGATTTTCGCAAATTCGCTTTTGCTCATGGTAAATGTTCCGAACTCTCGTGATCGCTGAACCATTCAACAAAATTCGCAATAATTTCCGGCCAAAGCTATATCCGCGTTGATCATACAGTTTTGAAATTTCAGGTGATACCCGTCACATGGAACTTGACCCGGGGTTGTCACTACACGTACTTGGCGTGGAACGTTTTCATGTGGATATGCTGGCTGACGACGAAACATTCTGACCCCGGATACCTGCCCATCGATTCCGGCAGCTATATTCAAACTATACGACAGGTAAACACTGCACTGTTAAAGCACATCCGCGTTACATTAAACTAAATTGCGATGTGCGAGATAACACTATTATTGTCACGTTTGGATGTTTACAGAATTTATATGCGTCTGTTAAAAACTGAATTACATTCTTTTTTTTCACTTAAAATAGATACAGGAATAAAACCCTAATATCAAAAGTTGACGAATGGTATTTGTTTCGGCCGCAAATTCGCTTACGTATTCTAAACACGAATCGCCGAGTACCATTATAATAAAATTATATTACAGTGCGTCGAACAAACTGGTCCTTGCGTTCATTGCGTTCACGCGTGACGCGACAAGATCTCGTGAAAAACCTACGAGATTTGCTTGCACGATAAAAAATAGCGTCTTAATGGGATGACACAAAAAAATATAAAAAAAAAAAAAATCCGCAAAAATTATACAGTAATATATATTTTACGCAACGGGCGCCAATACGGTAAAGCGATAAAACGTACCTACACGTGCCATTATAATTTATCGTCATGCGTTCATTGTTGTCTAAAACGGGAAAAATTCGTGATCGATAACAGAGCGAGGATTATTAGATAATGAACCAGCGTACGTTTATTATGTATAATATAATATTATTATGTACACGTACTATATATTATTATTATTGTTATTATTACTATTACCTCACCGATTATTTGAAATCGAAAACTTTACACGAAATCATCACGCGTACACTCTACTCGTATAGTCGTTTACATTACCGTTAACGTTCGTTAAAGGTCACTTCTGAAGGACCACGAGATCGTATCTCTGTACGTGTAGGTACGTCATGATGGAATAATCGATATTATTGTCTCTCGTATAGAATTTTAGTGCTTGACATATCCCACACTAAGAACGATCCTTCGCCTTTTTCTCGTCTGCCCAGAATTACTGCTTCTTCCGTCGATAATTTAATTTGAATTAAACAATTCATTTTGTTCAAATTTAAAACTTTTAGAATTTTCAAACTCTAATACCATCACACATTAAATAATAGCATACATTTCGGTACATTTTACAAGAAAAAATAACATAATAATAATAATAACAACACGCAATACAATAAAAAATACATATTTATACTATTGTTAAGTTTAGGAATCAGTTTATTTTATTGGCTTTTAATTTTACCACCTTGCAGCAATAACATAATCCATGTTTACATTTTTCATAACCTTAAATAATTTTGAAAACGTAATTTTGTTTTCAATTCATATTTCCGAACAATTTTAACACAAAATCCGTAATCCTTGCACAGTGTTATCAAAAACCTGAACGACGCGTGGCACCATGTCATAATATTTAATTATAGTTATGGGGTCGATTTTCGCACGATATTCAAACAGATGCCATGCAGACATGGATTATTGAACTTTTCGAAGTAAAAAAAATATGTTTTTCGCATTGTTTTCGCACACATTATTAAAATATCAATAAGCGTTTCTCTTGCAAAAGACTACCCCACACAGAATAACGAATGTTGATGTTTAAAATTGTTAACATCGTTTTTCATTTGTTTTCGACCCGTTCATAGCTACCTTTCTACCCTTGCGACATGGGCACCAAGCGGGACATACTATCCAGACTTTGTCACACGTGCCGTTGCGTGAGGCCCCTACGTGCTAAACACTGCAGGCTGTGCAACAGGTGCGTCGAGCATTTCGACCATCATTGTCAATTCGTCACCAACTGCATCGGTCTCGGAAACAGGTGAATATAAGAGCAGTACAAATACCTACCGTCCATCCGAGGGCGGTCCGAAGTGTCATATATATAATCGAAGTCGTCCATAATTCTTATTGAAATTCATGAATGAAACTTAATTTTAAAAAAGCCGACAACTTTCGATCCACCTGACCATGTCATCGGAGCTGTTTGCAAAGTTTACATGCATATTTAACATAAATTACATAAAATGCCTTATACGTTGTCGCGTGTCTAACACTTATGCATGTGTGTGTGTGTCACCAGGTCGTGGTTCTTTTGGTTCGTTATCAGTCTAGCCATGAACTGTTCGTACGTCATTTACTTGGTGTGCTGCACGATAAACGTAGATGGATTTAACGTTTTCTACGTCCTGGCGCTCCTGCAAGCAATCGCTTTCGGCCTTCTGAGCTGGGCTTTGACCGCGACCATCGTACGTATACAAACACAATACACACACACACACACACACACACACTCACACACACATACACAAATGTGTGTACATATATATATTATAAGCGTATTGTATAATGCTACGGATTATTCACAAATGTATACACACGGATGCCGATCGCGTTCGCAACTACTTGTGAATCTTTTGGTTCACGGTGTGAACTGCACCGTTTACACTATGAGCGTGCGAACATTATACATAAAGGTCATGTTCTCTTGTACAGAGTGATTTGCTTAACGATAGACGTTTTGACACACTTGTCCGTATAATACACGATCATATAGGCGATCCAAGTTGAACAAATTTTGTCGTTACGTACATATAGGTAATGTTTCAATGGGGGTAGAGAGCTCAAAGTGTTACCTACCACCCAACGAGTAGATTACATTTTTAATATGAAAATGTAAAGCCACTAGGGTATACATTTAATGTATTCTCATCTTAACGTGAAAACACTTAGTTATACTTTGAACGATTGAGTAGATACACAGTTAAAAATATCCGGTTTCAAATATCCGAATTCATTACATACTAGCAATGCAGTACAGTCACCGCTTAAATCGCCACAGAATAAAGAGATAAAAGCAGCTACGTTTGGACCCTCTAGGATGAGCAACGAGAGATTAATAATCGCCAATTATTTCATTTGTTAAATGGCATAAACGAATTATGTTTTCATCTGAACATGGGTAAATTTTGCGTTTGATGGTTATAAAATATATATTACAAATAATATTATAAAACTAACTTTTCAGTTTTATAAAATCCAAAGAAATTAATTTTTTAAGATTGTTGTATTTTACTAAAAATTTTAATCTTTTATTTTCACATTCTACAATTCTGTGATTTATATTTTACCATCGGTTAAGTGTTATTGGGTAACACAGTAACCAAAAACTATAAAAAGTGCATTGATCCTTGTGAGTTATCGAAATGAACATATACAAATTGATTATATCCTTATTGAAACACAGGAGATGTCGTGATCGATACGTTCACTTGGTAAATATATACGCATAAATTTTATACGATTCTGAAAAGTGGTACTCGATTATTTTTAAATGCGACCAAGGACCCTTTCTTCGTATATGCTTCTTTTACGCATATTCTTATGAATCAATAAGTTACATAAATTAATTATTGTAATGATTTTTGAACTTAATATGAGACGAGTGAAACCTTTCTCTTCTTTGTTCATAATTAAGTCCAAGTTTGGTTGCAAGCTAGGTATGGGCGTAGCTAAAATTTGAATCAGGGAGGGGCAAAAACATAAAATGATTAGTGTTAAACTCGTAATTCAAATAATCTACAGATAGACCATTGGATAACACATAAACCGTCAAAACTATTACACGTGTAGATATCACTCGGTCCCACTAAACTATTTTTAGAATTATATCTTATTTAATTTTTGATTTTAATGTAAAACTTACACGTTTGGTATAAACAAATATAATTTAGTTTGAGGCGCAGGGTTGGGCAAGTGCTTCTCCTGCCCCACCCTCGCTACACCCATGAAGCTAGGTATTTTTATATTAAACGCGACCGCGTGGATCTCTTAAAATCGACACGTAAACCTCTGCAAGACACTTCAAAACTACTTATTATTATATGTACGTGAGCGTATTATGTGTCGAATTGTTGTAAACTCTTTGTATTCTGTTTTCTGTGCGCAGTGCGTGAACGCGTTGATGAACTTGACCAGGAACGAGATGATCAACCATAAGAAGTATATGTACCTGAAGAACAGCCGAGGCAAGTACCACAATCCGTTCTCCAGAGGGATCGTGATCAACGTGTTAGAATTCTTTGGGTGCACGCAAAACAAGATCAGCTACGAAGGCGACAGATACGGTTACGATTGAGCGGTTATAATATTACGCATGTTATATGTACATTGCATTTATATATGATTATGTATAAACTGCCGTCATTTTGCACACACACACATATAAACACATACATACACGTACACACATACTACATATTTTCTACGCGACAAAATTTCGACTTTGATCGATAATACGAAAACGAATCGAAGTACATTACGATATATGTATATATTTATAATATTTAAAATTGATCTTTCTGCTGTGCAATACGACGTAGAACCGCATTGTTTTCTACTGTACGAATATATGTTATGCATATATATATATATATATATATATATATATACATGATTTTGCCTTTAAAATTTCCGCACGTTTATCGTCGTCATACAAAGTATTTTATTTTTTATATAAATCGTCTAAGCAAACAATAGCGATAATATTATTACATACGTCACCCACGAGGATAGCAGATGTAACTATTTACACGTATCTGCATCGGCAACATTTGATACGAAGACCTTGTATAATAATTATATGTATTCTTTGTTATAGTATTTTTTATATTAAATTGATATTAATTATTATTATAACTATACTATACTATATGAAAACCATATGTGTATAAAATTTATTTTGCTACGTTGAACTACTTTTAACTGCGAATTTGTTTTTGTCTGTTTTTTCCTCGCATATAAATATATATAACTTATCATTTATTCGTTAACATAACTGCACACACGAACGTCCATACACACACATTAATATATTTATATGTCCTGGATCACGAATACGATGTGTACGATGAGATTTCATTTTTTTTTCCCCCCGTTCTATTCTCTCCCTAACTTCAATCACGGTTCGCGTTCGTCGCGCGAACGAGCTACGATGAGGACGACGACAACAATGAGCTGTGTTCGGCTAAAGCACTACCTAGCTATAACCACAACCGCTGATATACCTGTTTTACTTTTCAAACCAAAAGTAGCTGCTACCACCTATTTGGTCATTCAACCACCGTAATGGACTATCCGTGCGTTTACGCTCATTTCGTATACTTTCTACTGCACAGAATACTCACGGCCTATACCGAGTAACTACTGCGTGCACAATAAACATACATATAATTCATACGACCATTTGCATACAATAAAACGTGCGTTCACAGTGTACTAGATATGCGTGCGTGTGTGTGTGTGTGTGTGTGTGTGTGTAATAGTATAATATACTTACATACCGCGTACAGCAGATTCACGTATTATTTATTTTTTTTTCTCAACGTTTACGCATCGCGGATACAACTATCCTATTATAATATTAATATATTTTATCGTACATGTATATATATATATATATATATATTTACGAAGCACGTGTAGTTAAGTACCAGCTGCAATTATGGTGTATAGGAAGAGAAAAAAATTAGGAGAAACATTTACAAAACAAAACTCACTTTTTGTGCGATTTGTATTTTTATTTTTATATACGTCAAATCATATATGCATTAACATATACCATATATATATTTATTAAAATGTATCGAAAAAAAAAATAGTTCACAAACGCCGATTTTGTACGTGTATTAGTAACGTATTAGTATAAATTAATAATAATAATTATTCAATTAAACGTATTATATAAAATAAATTAATATTTGCTCAACACTTTGAGCATACTTCCGTGGCACATTTTTACAAGAATTTCTATATCATAAGCACTATATACGTGTATATTATATCAAGTGTAATTTATTATGGCGAACACTTTTGCCCGATTGAAGACAATGGAGTATAGATTTATTGGCCGCAGTAGTATACACAATGGCTAAAATAATCACTCTCGGGTTGTGTAATCTATGAGATTCGCATTGCGTTTCACATGTTTCAACATAATATTATGTAGAGTGTGATTCTATTGTTTCAAGTATACCTAGTCTGGACCGGACGAGAGCGGTTTTGGCAACATATCATTATAGATAAAAAGTGTAAAAAAAAAATTAAGCACACAGACAACTTCAAGCATACATTGCATAATACATACACATCATGTAGACTTAAATGAAACCGTCGATATTACGAACGATGACGATTGCCGATCAATAACGATTATTCGTAGTAAATCCTAAACGGGAAAATTTAACATATGTATATTATCACTTGCTGTAAATTATAACTTATGTTATCATATTAATAAATACAATTATTATTATTAAGTAATTTACTCATTTTGACTAGCTGTACACATTGATAAGATTTTAGGGCGTAGTTATAAGGAGAGACTTGAACAGTACACCATACACAAAAAAAAAATTGTAATATAATACCAATACCGGTATTACCGGCACATGAAAATATATTTACACTCAATAACCGGGAAAAGAATTTCGGATGGTTTCAGCAGATTCTTTAACCGATTATGTTTTCATATTATCGAAATCCGGAAACGAGATCTTAACCCAAAAAACTCTTTCTGTGTAGATTTTGATCGCGGTTGCTCTTTCTTTCTCTCTTTCTCTCTTTCTTCCTTTCTATTTCTGTAGTTTACGATTGCATCTATTGACTATTCCGTAACGTAGACGGAAAAAACGAATTACAATAATAATCGACTACGGAACACAATGGACGAATTGCATTACAAGTAGTTTTGGCCAGGATTAAAAACTTCCGTTTTTTATTGAACAAAAATCCGAGATTTAAATACGCATATTGGTTTGGTCGCAAAAAAGAGTTTAGTTATAGGTTTTTACGTAAACATCATAGAAGTTAAATCTGTGTTAAATCACAACTTGTATTTCTCCGATCTTTTAGATGTATCGACGGTGCTATTTTTTCTCTTCTAAAACGGACTACTCGAAGATCTAGTCCACCGCGGAGTCAGTGATGGTAAAAGAGCAACGGAAAAAATCGCACGCCAAGTCGACGCGTGTGCATGCGACCCGTCAAGTCTCCCGTCGTAACCTACGCCCAATATAGTAATATATTATTATATTATACGTATACAATATTATATAAGAGTTGCGAGTTTTTTTTTTTTTTTTCTACTGAAACGTTCCTACGCTTCGTGTAAATCTAATTTTAGGTAAAAACTAAATCATTAATATTTAAGTAGGTAAATAATATGTAAAGCGAGAAGAAAAAAAAAAATTATTAACCGAACGGTGGCTGCGACGACGGCGGAGCTACTCCGGCCACCGAAGAAGCATAATGTTTTCATTCCCACCGATGCGCAGCGGTGCGTGCGTGCGATGTAGCAAAATAAGATCTATGTGTTATGGCGCGTCGCGTGTTACGTGCGACCGATGGCGACCGGACCGAGGGCACCTATTGCGGTCGCGGATCGTACGGTTCCGCGTTCACACCGACGTAACGGTTATTCTTGCGATGGACGAACCCCGTGCCGGGGGCCGTGTTGTAGTAGACCACGCGCCTGATCCCGAACGGGTCCACGTAACCGTAGCTGCCGGAGCGCGTCTCGCCCGTCCCGTCGGACGACGTCTGCTCCTCGTGGTAGTGCCGTGGCAGGTAATACTTGAACCCGTTCCGGACGAACGACACGCCGTCGTACTGGGCCTCGGTGGCCGACGCGTCCGGTCCCGACATGTCTACCACCTTGCGGTACGCTGGCCGGAACGTGTGCGGCCGCAGCGGTTGCTCGTACAACGGTTGTTCCGCGGCCGCCGGGCCGCCGGATGATCGGCGCCGGTACGCGTCGTCGACGTCGTTGCGGTCGTCCCCGTCCACGGTGGCCGCGATCGAGTTCACGTCCACGGGTCGCACGGAATAGTAACCACTGTCGTCGGCCGCCGACGATGGCTGGACCGGCGGCGCGGCGGTGGTGACGCGGCGTTGATCGCTGCCTCTGATCGGCGACGGGCGTCCGCGGTACTGCGAGACGGCCAACCGATGGAGCGGCGACGCGGTACTACTGCCGGACGGGAACCGCAGCGGTGACGACTGACTGTCGGACGGGTACACGAACGGCGATCCGCGCCACGACGATTGAACGGGCGGCGCTTGCGTGACGGCCTGCACAGGCCTGGCCGCGGTCACGGCAACCGCTGCCACTGCCGCCCGGTGGTGGTACGGCGACGCAGACACGGCTGTGCCGGCCACCGCTGGCACGTATTTGGCCGCCGACACGGCTTGACCGACCGGAGCCTGGGCGCCCACGAACAGCTTTTTATTCTTCACAATCCTGTAACCTGCCGAAACGAACGATAACATTATCGTAAGTAAACACGTCATGGTATCGAAAATCGTATAATATGCTACGTTTTTTTCAGCACTAAATATTTTAAGTGAGTCATGAACTTGTAAAATGTTACAAGTTAAAAAAAAAAATTATAACTCGTTACAAAATTAAAATATCGTAGAAAACCTTAAAGTTTTATGATAGGTCACTTTTCTGTAACAGCTAATAATACAGAATTAATTTAATTGAACGCATATTAGCTTTGTTGAGAAGTCCTTTTAAAGCTCATTGATAACGAGTAAGTTTTTGAAGATGAACCGACGATTGATTAAATCTAGTCTTCCGGAACGATTACTGTTGGTACTGTAAGTGTTTTGGGAATGAATTAAGTCATTCGAGAAAAATGTTTACTGAACTATTGAAACAGTGTTAGTGTTTGTATTAGTTTGATAATAAATAGTTCCTAAATGAATTGAATCCATAACACATTGTTGTGCAATTAACGTTTACAGAAACGCGATTAACCCGAGTAGATCGGACGATGCAGTAGTCCTGGTAAGCGTGTAATCATTACTTGAATATTTTGACATTAATATGTTTTAAACAAATGGAAAAGGAGAATTTATAATACGTGCAGTGTGTTGAGAGAATGGTATAATAGGAGATAATGAGTAATAGGAGATAGTAACAAGATGTTTGCAGGAAAAAACTTATATAAAACCGAGAGACTTTGCACTTCAATTACCTCAAGGTGTGCGTGTTATACATTTATACAAGTAAAACTGCGTATTATATACAATACATAATAATATTTTATTAGTGATAACATGCCGTATATTCATTTGGATTAATCGATATTTTCGAAGTGAAGTTGATGGACGGTTTCCGCGAAAAAACTTTAAAAGCGTAGATTTTCAAAAAGTATCTATAATATCGGTTTAGAATGCATACAGGTAGCTTACAATGTGGAAATATAATATTACAAACGAGGTCGGCATTACAAATTTGACAAGAAAATACTTCATCTGCACTGAACAGATCCGTTGTAGTCTAAAAGTTTCCAAATCAAAATTTTCGATTAATTAATGATTTTTTATTCGTGCCGATTAAATATAAACAACTGTACTCATTAGGAGTGAAACGAATAGCATCAGTATAAAAACAAAGAAAAAAAATCGTTAAAAAAAATATACACATGTAGGTTAAAGATAGGTTATAGACCTTTACATCTGACAAATTTTCTTGTTTCCGTCCATCCCACACAGGCAACATTGTAAAATTATTACGCCCCGCATTTTTATGATATACGAGTATTTTATATATTATGTACCCACTATACTGGACTGCAATCTGTGCGCGACTATTTTAATATTACATTCTCTAAATTATAAAAGAGTTATTTTTATTATTTAATCGATTATAAATTAGTTTTTTTTTTTCTACTAAAAAGACCATTATTTTTACATTATATCATATTATACGGTAGAAAATTAACAACAAAACAGTTTATTGTGTTTATGCGCTAGTTAATAACAACCCTGAGGTGTTGGTTAATATTTTAATATTCTTCTGTTGTTGTGTAAAATAGTTAAAATAATAACAACCCGTTTCTATTATCGGAATCTATTTATTTTTTTTTACTTTGAAATTAAGTTGTCAGTTTGATTATATTTAATATTATGGACTGATATAAATTAAAAAATGTAAAAGAAAATTAAATTTGACACATACACTATCTCAATAAGTTCCTAATTACATTATTACCTATATAAAGTTATTTTATTTTTTGTTAGATTAATAAAAAAAAAAATGTATTATTCTTGTATCACCAATATTATAAGACATTATAATTGTACTAATATTTTAGTAAATTCACGGTTAATAGTTAATAAAAAAATACTATGGATGAATGAGTTCGTCTAATTTTTATATGCTTATAATTATAATAGTATGCTAATTTAATTTAACAAGTGGTTATATCTCCATAAGAAGTATATAAAAATATAAATATCCACAATAATAAAAGATATAAAATAATACACATGCATACATATTATGTACAAATATCCATAAAAGTATTGGTGTAAATTAAAATGTTGATGTTATAGTTAAAAAATACAACTAAAATTGGTATTTCGTATTTATAAAACATTATTAAAAATTGGGTTTTATCGTCAAAATTGTATTTATTGTAGTAACATTTGATTAGATAAATTACGCAAAAAAAGAGAAACGTATATGAACATATTTCTATATCAACGTTAATAAATATAAAAGTTAAAACTTATTTTATAAAAAAAATGTATTACTTAATGAAATAAAAAACTAATTTTATAAAGTAAACAAATTATGTAGATCCAACAAAGTACTTCCACATTATTATACATAATTTACACATCATAGTTAATTTAATTTATTGTTTAAGTGTCCTTCAGTTTAAAAATTATATCACGTATATTTAACGAAAGTAATCGAAATCCAAAACAGGTTCTCAACCTATTAACAAAAATACTAATGATCAATTTTATACGAGTATATTCTAATTAACGAAATATTTAAAACTGTGTCATATTTACTAAAAAAAAATAGTTAACAATAAATTTATTATATGAGCATCAACTAAATTATAATATATGCATTAATTATAGTTTAATACAACAAACACGTTTTGATTTTGTTTGGTATTAACACAAAATTGATCACTTTCATCTTTTTTTTTATTGATAACAAAATCATAATTTAAACGAACTATTTTAGCGAACATATTGTAACGTATTCAGTTTAAAAAAATGCATTTCATAAATTTAAACTTACTGCTCGATGTATCGTAAAATATTTATATATGGTCGTATGCTATATTATTAATTGAAAACAGTGCTACGCATGGTCTTCAATATTATATAAGCTGCGGAATTATTAAGATCAAACGCTTGAGAAAATGACAAAAATATTTAAAAAATAAGTATAGGGTACACTCCCGAACAACAAAAATATCAAGTACGTACACGATTACGTGTATGGTATTATAGTTCATAATGATCATCTGCTCTCGTATGCATTTAGTCGGTGGCTAATGTTCAAAAGGTTTTCACGTAACAAGTTATATATTTTAGTTTTCATACAATATCATGTCCCATGGAATGAAAGCAACTTATGAAGAGAAAAAATCCTATAGGAATAGGATTCTTCGCGGTATATCTGTGGTGTCGCGAGGACAACGGAGCAAAAATAAAAAATTATGCTATACTACGGGACTCGAGCAAAAAGAACTTTACGAATATTGCGTAACCGCAACGTGCATATATTATCCGCACGCGTGAAATTCATTATACACGAGTAGTACAATCGGTGTATAAATACTTTTTCAACGTACTTGAGCGTACCACAAGAACTAATGTATACATACTGTCGTATTGCATTTTATTATCGTGTACTTATTTATATATACCTATACTCAACTAATTTCGTTTTAAAATTATTACACTTTAGTCACGATTTATGAAAAAAATAAAATAATTAATTTAATATTTTGATTGCGTAAGTCCGTATTTATTGTTACACGGTGCAGCGTTCGTTAAGTGTATATTGTAACAAGTGCGGTGTTTTTAATATCACGCCCAGAGAAAGAAATAAAACGTATTACGCGTGATTTTGTACGCATATCATTTCATTTGCAGCGTTCGCTGCGCGAGTAAAATATGTACGTAGCTCGTGAAATGTGCATGCGCAGCCAGACGTTATAACACCAATATAACCTAAAATACTAACCCTTCGAGTCGGCTACGTAATCGTTGAGCCTCAAATATCCGTCCGCGTCCACCCATCCGTACGTGCCGACCACACTGCCGTCTTGGAGCCGCCTCTCTTTCCGGTACTGCCCGCTAATTGTTTGATACTTGAAGTACCTTTCCGGTCCCTCGTCCGTCTGTATGTGGTACTGCGTATTGGGTTCCGTGTCCCATCCTCCATCAATTTTGGACGCAACCGTTCCCAAAATTGCGAGCTAAACGAAACGGAAGACGAAAAATATTAAACCGTTAATCCGGACTATGTTCTAAATCTAAATATTCATATTAAAATATGCGTATATCGAAATAAGCATTGAATAATATGCAGGGAATATTCCAGGTTGATGAACGAATACGACTTCGAACAACGTAAAGTTGGTTCATTTAATTGCTATATTAATCTAGAGAAAAAGTTACTTTTTGGTGAAAAATGAATAACCTTTAATTTTTATAGCTGAATTTCTTAACTGTATTATAATATTTGTTTGGAACCATATATTTATATACGTTTTTTTGATTATAACGACCCTAACGACTTCAGTCAAATAACTTATCTATTTAGTCACCTGTTTAGCCCCTGTTTTACGTGGAATCACGTTCCCTGTTTTAGAGTATCAGGATTTCTTAATGGATTTCTCAAAATTGTTTTCTTTCTTTATCGATCTAAAATACTGCACTTATAATACTATAAAATATAGATTTGAAACGTATGATTTTATTAGAAAATATGATTTATTAAAATTTAGTTTGATTTTATATTTTGTTTTTAAAAAATTCGTGCATTAACCTAATTTATATTTTAATATTTGGTTCATCTCATACTTTTGTTATTTTATTTATTTTTAGTTTTCCATACATGCTTATACAATCTATACATATATCAGCACACATAAAAAACTGCAATAGCGATTAATTTGAAATGTGAACATTTACTTATTATTATGAGTAGGTGCGATAAAAAAGGATTAAAGGATTTTTTGAAAATCGTATTTTTTAAGAGTAGAAACAGCTTTTGGATTAATATATACAGTATTTACTTTAACGTTGCTTAGGAATTATCTTACACAAATTTTAATTATTACCGTTGGAGATAAATGTTAATATTTATAAAGTATAAAAAAAAATGAAACTAAATATATTTATATTTTTATGATTGTGTAGTTTTTTCAACATGGCATATTTTTATTTTTTTTTTTTTCTACAAAACACTTTCTACTCTAATCTAAAATAGTAAAATAACTCCCGAGTGTTACCGAATAATATATTTATATTTGATCCCTACGCGGCCGCGCATCATATTAATTCTTTTTCCCTTGAACAAATTGTCTGAGCGCACGCGCTCATAGAACGGCAGTCGACGTATTTTCAATAAATATTTAATACATTATAATAATACGGACGTACAACATATGAGTACACATATTGTTCCGAGTCAACAATGATTCAGCGATGATCTACAAGTCGTACATAAATACATATTGTTATAATATAATATTATGTATTATAAAGAAAAAATCTCGCGCTCCGATACTTGGTAATACTAATCGACCGATCACAATGGACATTTGACTCACAAATAATTCGCCGACGACAATAATTACCGCTCACGAGTGAATAACCGACGACCGGACAAGACAAAGGAAACCTACAGCGCACGCAGGTACCTTTGACGAACGGTGCGTATATTATACGTATGTACGCGTAAACATTTTATTCGTTTTTCTTGCGTGGCCGGTCAGATACCTTTTAAGGTGATCATGTGCGCACAGCCTCCACTCAAACGCACGTGCGTACACATCAGCTCAACCCGCAGCATTTCACATTTCTTCATGATCGTCATTATTTTTCGGTATATATCATGTAAATGTAAATATTAATGTAATAATATCAGAAAAACTGTAATCTGTGCGATTCGAGTGTTTTATTCGTAAGTTCTGCGAACCAAGGTCTGCGCTCGAGTATAATATATTTTGCTTGGCGTCCAGAAGAGATCCCACTCAAATGTATTACATGTAGGGCAGTGAAGTTATTGCGTTTGCATGTTTTTTGTAAATGCTTATATTTATTGCTGAGTGAGCTTAAATATATTTCCTTAAACTCTTATTTTAAACAAAAAAAAAAAAATTATTAATAATATAATAAATGCAATTTTGGCGATTTTTTTTAATTTTACTGCAATTTTAACTATTTTTCGTAGTATTCGTATGTATTAGATTTGTAGATATTAATAAACCAGAAATTCAAAACTATTTTACAAAAAAATAAAGGATATCAAACAATTGTTCGTATATCAAAAATTATAAGTTGGAGAAATACAGTCAATGAAGGGCTTGTCAAAAAACTTGACCAGCAAAGATTCAATCTGCTTCAAGTACGCCCCAATAATAACTACTGACGTAGAAAGAAGTTTCTCCAATACAAAAATTTGTTGTGCGATAACAGACAATCATTCGATTTTGAAAACTTAAAAAAATCATTCGTAGTGCAATTCAATGATATAAGCAATATTCATATTTAATTTTTATTATTACTATGTATTAATATATTTGATTTTATTGATTATAATTAAATTTTTTCATTGTAATTTTTAAATTTATAAATGCAATTTTTAATATAATTTAATGCAATAGTGCAATCAATTTAGTGAATTTTTTAATACAATAACTTTACTGCTCTAATTATATGATATGAAATACACATGTAGTATGTTTTGTTCAACGATTCCCCGTAGATAATATGTATATGCACATAAAATACTTCAGTTTTTCCAACTTTTCTCGGTCATAGACCGGTTTGTAGATATCAAGTCAAATTAATAAGTTAAAGTCGCCATATGAAGTAACACTCGCTCAAAACGCTCTTCAAGGGACCAACTCAAAAGAGCACTATAACCGAGAAAACGTATCTTATGCAAAAATTGAAAAATAATCAAAGAACATAATAAATATAATAATAATCATAAGTATTAAAGAGATATACTTTTTTTAATTCCGACCATTCTGAAAATGTATGAACACCAATATAATTTGTACATGCTACAGAGATGTTCTCTGGATTTATTTTCTGTGCCCTCTTCATCGATAATTTAAAATATACGGTTATTCCTTTAAATCGTAAGCATTTTATTCTTCTTGTACTACCAACAATTTTACGTAATAATATATATATATATATATATATATATATATATATATATGCTGCTAACAAACTAGCGATTTATACGGAAAGACGAAAAAAAACCAATTGTCTATGTAGTACAAAAAATTGCAGGAGATCGACGGATAACAGCCTCTTGAGCTGATTATACTGTGTATACACGTACTTTAATAAATATTATACATAAAAAGCAAGGGATGAAAAACCAGATATTTTATTATATATTGTTGGTAAACTGCGCAATATGTGTATGTTGTTTTCAATGTCTATTCAACGAATGCGCTCGACATAGCAACTACATGAGATAGTTGGTGAAGCTGAATCACGTCTCATTTTGCACATAAATTATAATTGTAAACAAAATATACATATCGTCGAAAAAAGTTCAGTCCACTTAAAATCAGCACATAAAATATTTAAAAAAATTATCATATATTTATATGTATTTTTTGTAATATTACACATAATATCTGGTTATTAATAATTTAATATGAAGAAAATAAAATAATTTTACGGATGCATATAAGTATAGAATCTATAATATCTATACTATAGATTATTGAATATTCAGATTTACTGATTTTGATTAAATGTTTGGGTTGCGTAGGTGCACAGTCTAAAAACTAAAACCGAGTTGTATAAAACATGACAGATTAACGTTAGTCCAGCGCTAATGTCCGATATAACTGGTATTGTAACTAAACGTATGCATTATTGCTAAAAAATAACAAACGTATGATTCAAATACTTTTGTACACCGTCAAATGTGACCATGTGTTATATTTTATGATATTATTACGCTTACGAGTTCAAAGTAACGCTTAAGGTTTAATGAAAATATTTATATACATGCGAGTACCGTAGTTAATACGATTTATTTACGGTACGCGCCAATCGTTTATATCATCTTGTTTTCGAATTAAAAATTAATTCTACGCAACAAACGGCCGCAGTAGTGATATAATACGTAGCCATTGTCACTGAATAATAATAATAAGAATAATAATAGAAAATGATTAATTGGTTTTATATTTTAAGGGAAATCGCTAACTGTTTTTTTCTTCTTATAAATACGTATACATATAATTGCGTATAATTTACGATTTTTTTACATCTCGTCATTTTCATGACACATTTATAATATTATTATACACTCTTCGGCAGTTTAGCTAATTTCTAACAAAAATAATCGTTGTGTAATAATAATATAACGTGTTCTGAATGTTCACACACACACACACACACACATTTTATAACAGATGTCGCCACGGCAACTGTATTTATATTATTGTATATTATATTACTTATTATTTATTCACAGCGTGCATACAGTTACATACATAAAACTTCGTATACGGTGACATTTGGAAATAGTCAATATTAAAATATGTTCGACCTACACTGGTTTACTAATATAGGAGAACTCATTACTGCATCTTTAACACCCACAGCAAGAATAAAACTATATCTATACATTATCCCGCATATTTACAGACCTTGTTTGCTCGTATACACTTACACCATGTCAATTATAATAGATTTTCGAGTAAATTTAACACGATTATTACTTCAATGCGCTGCCAATATGTTTTATTATCAGAGTTGGGCAATATTTTATCTAGATAATTATTTGAATAAATATGTATTCGAATAAAAAATTATTCACGCGTACACTGCACCAGGAAGTGTATTAGAATTATTTTACAAATAGTATGAACATGTCACGAAACTCCTACCTAATAATATAATATGTTATTTATGTATACATCTTTAATATTGACACCATATAATAATTAGGTAACATCTTTTTTTCCAGATTATGTAACCGTTAGGGATTTATTTTTAGTTTTATTTTTTGCAATATTAGAATATACGGGTGAATCGTAAAAAAAACCAATAAAATATGTTTCATAAAAAAATAGTAATTGGTTTTCATTGAATTTTATTTTGTTGCTCCGTAATGCAAAAAAATAAACATGTTAAATAATCACTGAGGTCAAACGGAATGGATATATTGATATATAAATTACATTTTATAAGCCTGTTAAAAACAAATGGT